ACAAGTTAATTTTTGTATAAGAACGTTGCAATCTCAACAATGTTGCAAGGGATGCTGTAGTGAGCATTAGCATTTTCTCATGGCAGAGAAGTTGAATAAGCAGGATGAGGTTTATTAAACTGTTGACAAGTTTATAGCTCGCTTTGGTAGTATGTTAAGTAGTACTGTATGTACTAAGGAAATAAAACGTCTTGCATTGCATTAGCCAAGCATTCACATATGCACATTTGTGTAAAGAATGTTTCTGGCGTCTGAACCAAAAATATTCATCCACTGAAAAATGGCAAAAAGCAACAAAATGGTCAAAGATGTACATCTAGTGCATGTTCACATTGGAAAAAAAAACTGGAAAAAAAGGGTTACAAAATCACTTAATCACATGTACAGCAGTATAGTTTGTAATAGTTTGTCAAATATCCACTTCATCCAGTGCTGTTTCACTATTAGTTTTACTGACTGAACTACCTCAGATTATTCAGTGAGAGAGCGGTCCAAACTAACGTGAATCAATTCACATTGTTTTGCAATCCGTTTGGCCAATTCACTGGAAAGAAAGAACCGACTTACAAGAATTATTAATTCATGAATGATTGTCATTGCTGGTTCAGTCAACAGAAATACAGAACATGCATAATCACTGTTAATATATAAGAAAAGAATATTAATAATTTAAGGAAAATGTTTCTCACAGATCATTCAGAGCTCTCATGATACACACAGCATAGAGTCATACAGCTGCAGGCGTCACTGAACACATCAATATTCATAACCATGTAATTTTTTTTAAATAGGAGACATCAATACACACAATAAACCGACTTTGTCAGAAAGAAAGTTAGAGGTTAATTATTTATTCAGGAAAAAGGGCATAGACAGACACACAGAATAGTAAAGGTTAAGTTTAGGGACCAATTCTCACTATCAACAAGTTTCTTATTAACATGCATATTACTAGCATATTGGCTGTTTATCAGTATTTACAGAGCACATATTCTGCATGACCATATTTTACATTCTTAATCCTACCCAATAGCTAAACTTACCAACTACCTTACTAACTATTAATAAACAGCAAATTAGGAGTTTATGGAGGCAAAAGTCATAGTTAATAGTTAGTAATAGTGAGAATTGGACCTTGAAATAAAGTGTGACCCACAGGATTAAGTAAAGTCAACATGAAATTCACAACCTGTGTCTGGAAAACAATATGCGCTTGTTTTATAAACAATGCATCAAAAGGCATTTTCAGAAAAAGAGACATTAACACTGACTTGTGTTGAGACGTAAGAGTTTTTACAAGTGTGTCATGCAAAATATAGTGCGGCTTAAAACTGTGATTGATAGTGTGATTTATGCTGAAATACGAGACTGTCACATATTAATATTATTTACTGGTGATGTACTCGGATATTATGAGCTGTTACAAAGTTGCCTAGTGATGCAAGCAAGACTAACTCTTATTTTCTCACATGGTTTCAGTCTGCAAAAGTGTACCTCAATAATACCTCAAATGTTCACTTTCTGAATGTCAAGAGAATTCATGAGTTTATTTGTTAAAAAAAAGCGTATTTGTTTTAATAAGTGGGTTATGCTCGAAGTAAGGCTGTTGTGTTCTTATGCTGCACTTAGTGGCTGTATAGAGAATGTCAAGGACTGCTTCACTTATTACTGCTCAAGATGTGATCTGCTGTATAATTCAAGTTGCATGTTGTTAATTTTGCAGATTTAAGTGCAGTGACAACAAAATAAAATATGTGCCACCAGAAAACAATCAGCCTGTCCTGTGTGTGCAACAATGACACTATTTTCTTCTGTAGAGCTGCTGAAATCGGTTCATAATTGCTGAACTTTGCAGCATTGACAATATTAGTTTATTTCCTGTTTATTACTGTAAAGCTGCTTTGAACATAAATTATATCATGACAACTCTAATGACAATGTTAATGTGTTTGGTCTCAGCGAAATAGAACTGCTACGTTGACTTGCTTCTGCCAGTACATCCACAACATGCAGATGTGAGCATGTAAGAAATACTGCTGCCGCACATATAACATATAAGAAATAACCCCCATATATAACATACATAAAATCACCCCGTAGCAGATCTATACAGGTGGAGCTGGGGAAGGTGGAGCGTTTCTGAAGTGCACTGCAACAGCTACAGCAAACACTAGCCGAGTATTTGAATGTTGAGCTGCAAGCTCATTGGCTGTTGATACAAAAAGAACCAATCAGCTATGCCATGTGATGATGTCATTATGTCAGATTGAGTTAGACCTATCAGACTGCGCCATCTAGAGTTTCATGACAGAACTTTGGATATGACTTGAATGTGCCAAGCTTTCCCAAAACTGGCCATATATATCACCAACAAAGTTCATTTTGCATTGTCTTCTTCAGAGTCAGACTAAGTGAGCTTTTAATATCTTAGTTGTGTGAGAATGGTCCTCAAACGTCCCTCAACCAGTTTATGGATCTGGCACATCAAGGTTTTTTTTACAGTTTTTCTTTGGAAAACTGTACATCAACGAATCATGCACAATAAGATCAGCAATGTGTGTGTTAGGAAAGTAAATGGGGTCAATTCTGATTCCAGGTTGACTTTAAAAGACAGAAAAAGAGTAGGAAAATTTAAAGATATGTGCTTTTTACTCATTAATTACTTTATATTTTCTAAGATGCACCTAAGGCTGAATTTTGTAAGGATTCGCTTACATTTACACTTGCATCTTTCACTTACACCTACTGACAACAGATTCTAATCGCAGGCAAAACAGCCTCAAAGACACTGCGAGCAGCATATTTCACCAGTTTCATCATAAATATGATGATGATAATATGTCTTGATGGTCTTTTCTACACTAAGGCATCCAGGAGTGCAGGCTGAGGACAGGCAGGCAGAAAGAACAGGAGAGCTTGAGCGCATCGCTCTAAGTGACTGGATTGGCGGGTTCATCTTCTTCCCTGACCACAGGAAGTTGTCCACTACCGCGAGCCTGTACCTGATCAGAGACTGTCTGCAGAGCTGACGCTTCCGCAAGAGCTGAGCAAACACACAAGAGACGTGAAAAGAGGGAAAAGAATACAGATAAACAAAGGGAAAGAGTAATAGCACTGGAAAAAGACAGATGACATCAGACACATCAGCTGAAAGAATAGATTTGAAATGAAATGCAGGAAAATATGGAAGAAATGTTTAAAAAGAAAAATGAGAATTCAGTGACGATGTGTGGCTTTTCTAGATTTCTATCAGGATGGAAATCTGCACAATGTGTCTATGTGTCCATGTGAGAAGTCAGTATAGAAAAAAAAAACAGCTCAGAGCTTCTGGAATAAAAAGTTGTTTGGCCAGTGATCCAATGCCATGCTTAGTGTGACAACGATAATATACACCAGCAAGACGTTTATTTATTTTTTATTTTTTCTACCAAAGGGACAATACCAGGCAGTACTTTTTTCCACAGAATTAGAATTTTTTGCTGAATAAAATGTTTCGATGACAAATTTTCTTAAAGCACTGAAAAACTTCTTTGTTGACCTCCTACTAAGCGTTTGTCTGATTTTCGTGCAAACCAGAACGCATGAACAAATGTGATGAAGAGCTCGCCAAAATGGATGTGAGGCTATATCTCCGCATCTCTTTAGCGTATTTAGACCAAACTTGGTGTGTGTTATAATAGCCATGACCTAAGGCAGGGGTAGGCAAGTTCGGTCCTAGAGAGCCGCAGTCCTGCAGAGTTCAGCTCCAACCCTAATCAAACACACCTGAACAAGCTAATCAATGTCTTCAGGATTACTAAGGCTATAGGCAGGTGAGTTTTGTTTTCAGGGTTGGAGCTGAACTCTGCAGGACTGCGGCTCTCTAGGACCGAACTTGCCTACCCCTGACCTAAGGCTACCTGCACAGTTTCGGCACAGCGCCACCTAGTGGTAGGGAGATGTGGAAAAATTGACATTAGACATGTGCGTATTCGGTATTCGGTAATGCGATATATCACGGTAATGAATATGCACGATATTGTTATCGTGGGCACTTCTAAATACCGTGAATAATTATATATTACAAATTATTCAGAATTTTGAATGCATTTTAAGAATACTTTTCCAATCAACTGGTCAAAATGCACAACACCGCTGTATGCTGCGTTAAAGACGCGTGCGCACTCTGATGTAAACAAGCACGCATGAGAAGTGCATGGCGGAGCGCGTGAGAGATGCTTTGAATGAAAGCACATTCACTCTCTGACAGCAGATGGCGCTGAACAGCAGAAATGCAGCCGTTACCCTGGAAACCCCGGAAACAAAGCGCTACTGAGCTACTTTCTGTTTCTGAAACATATTTAAATTATTTAAACCGCCATTCAGATGTTTGTATTTGCTATGATGTTCATCACAGAGCCAAATACTTAATAGGCTATTTATTTTCAAAACTTTTTTTACATTTTAATCTGGACTACAACATATTGTTTGAAAGTGTTTTGATTCTTTATTGTTCGGTCACACTTTACATTAGGGCTTCATTAGTTAACATTAGTTAATTCATTAGTTAACATAAACTGCCAATGAAAAATTCTTCTGAACATTCATTAATCTTAGGTAATTACAATATTTAATAACACGTTGTTAAAATCGAAAGTTGCAACTGTGTTATTTAATGAGCTAACATGAACAAAGACTTGTATTGTTTTAACAAAGATTAATAACTTCTGTAGCAAATGTAGCTATTGCTCATTGTGAATGTTAATGCATTAACTAAGGTTAACTAATGAGGTCTTATTGTAAAGTGATACCTATTGGTCTTTATAGTTCTTTTGCACTTTAATCTGTGTAAAACTTTTAACTTTATACATTTTTCTGTATTGCTTTATTGCATTTAAATGTTCAGTTATTTTTGTTATAAGAAAAAAAGTTATTAAACCTGTTATACTGTATTATGACAGCACTTTTTAAAACTAAATTTCAACATCGTGATATAAATATGATGATGATAATATGTCTTGATGGTCTTTTCTACACTAAGGCATCCAGGAGTGCAGGCTGAGGACAGGCAGGCAGAAAGAACAGGAGAGCTTGAGCGCATCGCTCTAAGTGACTGGATTGGCGGGTTCATCTTCTTCCCTGACCACAGGAAGTTGTCCACTACCGCGAGCCTGTACCTGATCAGAGACTGTCTGCAGAGCTGACGCTTCCGCAAGAGCTGAGCAAACACACAAGAGACGTGAAAAGAGGGAAAAGAATACAGATAAACAAAGGGAAAGAGTAATAGCACTGGAAAAAGACAGATGACATCAGACACATCAGCTGAAAGAATAGATTTGAAATGAAATGCAGGAAAATATGGAAGAAATGTTTAAAAAGAAAAATGAGAATTCAGTGACGATGTGTGGCTTTTCTAGATTTCTATCAGGATGGAAATCTGCACAATGTGTCTATGTGTCCATGTGAGAAGTCAGTATAGAAAAAAAAAACAGCTCAGAGCTTCTGGAATAAAAAGTTGTTTGGCCAGTGATCCAATGCCATGCTTAGTGTGACAACGATAATATACACCAGCAAGACGTTTATTTATTTTTTATTTTTTCTACCAAAGGGACAATACCAGGCAGTACTTTTTTCCACAGAATTAGAATTTTTTGCTGAATAAAATGTTTCGATGACAAATTTTCTTAAAGCACTGAAAAACTTCTTTGTTGACCTCCTACTAAGCGTTTGTCTGATTTTCGTGCAAACCAGAACGCATGAACAAATGTGATGAAGAGCTCGCCAAAATGGATGTGAGGCTATATCTCCGCATCTCTTTAGCGTATTTAGACCAAACTTGGTGTGTGTTATAATAGCCATGACCTAAGGCAGGGGTAGGCAAGTTCGGTCCTAGAGAGCCGCAGTCCTGCAGAGTTCAGCTCCAACCCTAATCAAACACACCTGAACAAGCTAATCAATGTCTTCAGGATTACTAAGGCTATAGGCAGGTGAGTTTTGTTTTGGAAACAAAGCGCTACTGCGCTACTTTCTGTTTCTGAAACATATTTAAATGATTTAAACAGCCGTTCAGATTTCTGTATTTGCTATGATGTTCATCACAGCGCCAAATACTTAAATATTTAAACTTAATAGGCTATTTAATTTAAAACTTTTTTTGCATTTTAATCTGGACTACAACATGCCCTAGATTTTGTTTGAAAGTGTTTTGATTCTTTATTGTTCGGTCACACTTTACATTAGGGCTTCATTAGTTAACATTAGTTAATTCATTAGTTAACATAAACTGCCAATGAAAAATTCTTCTGAACATTCATTAATCTTAGGTAATTACAATATTTAATAACACGTTGTTAAAATCGAAAGTTGCAACTGTGTTATTTAATGAGCTAACAAGACTTGTATTTTTTTTTTAACAAAGATTAATAACTTCTGTAGCAAATATAGCTATTGCTCATTGTGAATGTTAATGCATTAACTAAGGTTAACTAATGAGGTCTTATTGTAAAGTGATACCTATTGGTCTTTATAGTTCTTTTGCACTTTAATCTGTGAAAAACTTTTAACTTTATACATTTTTCTGTATTGCTTTATTGCATTTAAATGTTCAGTTATTTTTGTTATAAGAAAAAAAGTTATTAAACCTGTTATACTGTATTATGACAGCACTTTTTAAAACTAAATTTCAACATCGTGATAATACCGCATGGCGGAGCGCGTGAGAGATGCTTTGAATGAAAGCACATTCACTCTCTGACAGCAGATGGCGCTGAACAGCAGAAATGCAGCCGTTACCCTGGAAACCCCGGAAACAAAGCGCTACTGCGCTACTTTCTGTTTCTGAAACATATTTAAATGATTTAAACAGCCGTTCAGATTTCTGTATTTGCTATGATGTTCATCACAGCGCCAAATACTTAAATATTTAAACTTAATAGGCTATTTAATTTAAAACTTTTTTTGCATTTTAATCTGGACTACAACATGCCCTAGATTTTGTTTGAAAGTGTTTTGATTCTTTATTCTTCAGTCACACTTTACATTAGGGCTTCATTAGTTAACATTAGTTAATTCATTAGTTAACATAAACTGCCAATGAAAAATTCTTCTGAACATTCATTAATCTTAGGTAATTACAATATTTAATAACACGTTGTTAAAATCGAAAGTTGCAACTGTGTTATTTAATGAGCTAACATGAACAAAGACTTGTATTGTTTTAACAAAGATTAATAACTTCTGTAGCAAATATAGCTATTGCTCATTGTGAATGTTAATGCATTAACTAAGGTTAACTAATGAGGTCTTATTGTAAAGTGATATCTATTGGTCTTCATTATTCTTTTGCACTTTAATCTGTGTAAAACTTTTAACTTTATACATTTTTCTGTATTGCTTTATTGTATTTAAATGTTCAGTTATTTTTGTTATAAGAAAAAAGTTATTAAACCTTTTATACTGTATTATGACAACACTTTTTTAAAACTAAGTTTCAATATCGTGATAATACCGTATACCGTGATAAAAGCATTAGCAATTAATCGCAACATAAAAATTTGATACCGGCATATCCCTAATTGACATTTTTGATTAAAACTTTTGAACAGTTTGGCCAAAAATCAAAACTGGTCATTTTAGATTTAGCGCAGCATACAGAGGTCAACCATACCCAATATCCACATTTCGGCCATTTTGGGCATCAGCCATTATGAATTTTGTTATAAAATGCTATATTTTACGAATGCATTGTTGCGAAAGTCAGTACAGTATGTCGGTACTCAAAATATTTGGTGGAAGTGCCACCTTGTGGTCAAGAATTATAATGACATTTTTAAAAATGCTAATAGCTTTTGATTAGTTTTGCCTATTGTCATGAAACTGGTCTTGATATATTCTCTGGATCATGTTGAAAACATCAATGTCAATTATGCCATAAATGGCTGAACTTACTGTCTACCATTTAGATTTTTTTTTTTTTTTTTGAAAAACTACTTTTTTTAAATCCTCCAATTTTTGTGAAAATCAAACCAGATCATCTTCAGACCATGCTACAAAAACAATTAATGGATTTCATGTCGATAGACAACGGTTTTCAGTTACCACACCAGCGAATTTGATGGCATGATGCCACAGTACATCTAAGGCTGTATCTTTGCAAAGCTTTGACATATTTACACCAAAACCTCACTCTGACCACACCACATCAATTTGATAACAGCGCCACCTATTGGTCAAAAGCAATAAACCATTAGATCATATTACTAGTAATTGTATTTATGAATTTTCAACCATTTGCTTAAAATAGCCTCTAAATAGCTTTAATCCTTTTTGCAATTTTTTTCAATATTCATTTGTCTGTATAGGTTAATTAACTATTCACATCAGTGTACTGTATGTCTGTATTAATTCATTTATGTAAAATAAATATTTTATTGTACTGGGAATTTTACACAATGGGATAATGTGAACTTAAAGGACCAAAATAACAGACAAAAACAAAGAAGATGGTCACAAATCAGACAATAACACGATCAGATTTCTATTATCTGAAAGTAGGCTATTTAGCACTTACCTCCCGGCATCTCTGTGAGTTCGTTGAGGGGGGGCACCGTCTCCAGTGTGTTGGCATATGTTTTCGCGGCTTGTCTTTGTACGTGCCGAGCCTCTATCTCTTTTTTCGTTCGTGGAATTCGACATTTGAAGATGCAGCACAGTGTTATTACTGTGAAATGAGGAAGAAAGCTGTGAAATATTTGAAAGAGAGTTGTCCTTCACAACAGGCAGCATCTCATATCTCTTTGTTCTGTAATTGATATATTGCTCTGGGGGAATTTCATTAAATCCCTTAATGTGATTCACTACGTGTAAATAATTAAGTGTTTATTTTGACATCTATTCAAGTGAATTCTGAATGCAAATATATGCATAGCTTGCCATTATAAAGAGGTCACCCACAAATGAAAATTCTGTCATCATTCATTCACACTCATGTCAATAATAATCTTTATAAATAACATGTAAGCTATTTCTTCTGTGGAACACAAAAAGAGGGATTTTGAATAATATACTGGTCACTCTTTTCCATGCTGTTACAGTGAATGGAGACTGGAGTTTTGGGGCTTCAGAAATGATACTGCATTCCATTAAAGTTTTAAAACATAGTCTATAAAACTGTGTGCTATATCCCAAGTCTTCTGAAGTTAAAGTGCTCTTTTTGTCACTTTGGAGCTTGACAGCCCTAGTGCTCACTTTTATCATATTGAAAAGAGTGGCAAAATATACCTTTTGTGTTCCAAGCACGAAAGAAAGAATATGGGAACAATAGAGTGAAAACACAGTTATAGTAAATGATGGATTTTTCTTTTAGACACTTACTAATTGCTAGTATGAACATGGAGAAAATGCCTACAATCTGCCATAATCGAAGGCCCCAAAACACCACTGATTCTGAAGTGACTGGATCTGGCTTTTTTGGAGGGTCTGTTGGCAGAAGCTGCAGGGATAAAAGAAAAAATATATATATGTTTTTTTTTCCTGCATCTCTTGCAATATCCAGGTAATTGCACCACTGAAATGGCAACAGTAAGCTTTTAAACTACCACTTTCACATGGTGATCACAGTGGAAAAAAGAGAGGCAGAAACACTTGAGACTGTAAATTGCTCGCAGTGCATTTTTAGACAAAAAGATGGGGAAAGTGGAAGCAAGTGGCAAAATAAAAATAAAAACAGAGAGATTCTAAGTTAGCATCCAGATGCATTTTGAAGGATCTATGGATATGTTTCAGTAGCAACCTGAAAAAAAGACAGTGTTTTTCAATTTTATTTTTTTAACTTAATAATTTAAAATATTTATGCTATAAACATAATGCTTAAAAATCATTATGTAAATTTAGTGCTCAGGAAATCTCTATTTTTAGAAGATTTCAAATAGTTGTGTTGCTTAATGAACTGTGCCTTTATTGAAAGTATGCTTACATTTTTTGAAAAGCGGGATGAGATTTAAAAATATTTCACATGAATATTTCAACAAACTTGCTGTCTGCACAGCTGTCATTGCTGCAAGTTGCAGAACAGCAAACAAAAGCATGCATTTATAGCATTTGAAAAGTTTTACTGATCGATCATGTGATCATTATCACTATCAGGTCCTTTCAAAAAAAACATTACATAGAGATTCTAAACTTTTGAATACTTAACTCCAGCATTGACAGGTTCAGGAGACCTGCAGGCTTCATATGTGACAGTAGCTTTAAGGTGGAAACGTGTTGCTTTCGTTTAAATAATTCAGTATTTATGTCATACAGTACAACGCATTGGTGGAAGGCTGGATTCAGGGATTCGGTCAGTGTTGACATGTTGACGTGTTGTCCTTCAGTTCTTCCACACATGTTATCACTCCATATCTCATTTGAATCTGCACTCCTAAACTATTATACCTGCAGACAAACTTAATTTCACTTGTCCCCAGTCCCCAGGCCTGAAGGTCATATTGCACTGCTAATAAATCTGTGAAGTCCTTGATACAAAGTCTTCATGGGAACTGTATTGTCCACATCAAAATTCATCTGGTTGGTCATACAATGACTGTCTTCTTTGTCTTCACATTGTGATTTAAAATATATCTTCCAGTCTGTCACCTCAAGACATCTTGGAGACCAGGTCCTACTAGTTCTGGTGGTCACAAGCAGATGATGGTCGGTGCTGGATGATGGTCTTGTATGTTGAGATGTCACGTACCAACATGATTGTACTTTAATCTGCCAAGGAGTTACATGCCCTTTTGACACATGCATACAATGAGTACTGTATAGTGCACCCACAAACAGATTTAGGTTTGTGAAGGTGGAAGTAAAAGATGAATATAGTGATGCACATGGTGAAGCTTCTGACACCTGTATTGTATCCAGCGTTTGCACAGGGCACACACAATTCTATAGAGAGAATTAATGCCTGCTCGCTTTTTGAGCCCTGCTGGTTCCAGAAGTATATTTTTTCTGTTCATTTTTCCAATGGGGATTTAAAAAGTGTTATAAAGCCATGAACCAAAACCAACCAGCAATAAGGTGAATCAAATCATTATAAACTTTTATTTGAAGCACAAAAAAAGTATGGTCATGCAGAACATGTGCTTTATAAGAACTAATAATCAGCCAATATGTGGCATACTAATAAGTAACTAGTTCATATTGAGAATTGGTCCCTATACTAAAGTGCTACCTTTAAAACATAAGTTGAAATAACGCAAACTGATGGCTTCAACAAAAGCATGTATCATCTATTAACAGACTCGAAGCTCACAGTATAGGTCTGTCTTTAAATGTATACAAGTAATTGTTAAAAATCTATTTCCCTATGGAGAAAATGAATGGCATTTTTAATTTCTAGAACCCGACTGTTGTGCTCTGTTGTGTTCAGGGCTGCGTTTCCCATCGTAAGCCTAAGTTGATCGTAGCTCCATTGGTGGCAATGGGTCTACGATGTATGCTTTTGGGAAACGCAGCCCTGGTTGGTTGCTGGCTGATTACTTACTGAACTAAATCAATAAAGCCCACCTAAGTCTCTATGATGTTCTGGCCTGCAGTGTGTACTGCAAATACACATTGTTTCATTGTTGATGTTTATCATTTTATCTTCATGTCTTATAGTTGCATTTAGCACATTAGAGCTAGCCGATAATGTAGTTTGCATTTTGTGACGATACAAGTTGAGCTATTTAGTATAAATCACCCAACATGAGTATAATGTATGTATGCGTTAAAGTTGGACATACTTTCAACTAGTTTTCAACTTGATATAAAGAATCTGATCATTTAAAACAGTAATAGCATATTTCTCCTAAACAAGCTGCACAATCGTATTATATGTAAAAGATGCACAAACATTTTAAAATGTAGGGTAAAGGGTTTGTTCAAATCTCTAACCCTGTGTGTCACCAAAAGCAATAGTGCCTTAGCAAAAAACACTAATAATTAGTATTGACTTATACCATTAGTATTTAGTATTGACTGATTAGCATGATATTTTTGCTAGATAAAGGGTAACATTTCCATCAGTGAGGCTGGAGATAGCAGATGTCCCTTCAGCTAAAAGTGAATTACTATTGATATTTCAGTCTTATTCAATAAACCCTGAGATTGTCACATGGTCGCCTGCTATGGCATATCAATAGCCAGTGTGCTGAAAGCTCATTCATACATTCATAGCTTGGCACCTGTGTTTCTCCAGTTTACTGCACATGCAAGCTAACACTATAGATGCTTGGTGGATTTAGTGTGTACGGATATACAAAGAATAAGCCCCGGAGCATAGATTTATATGCCTGATCGATAGATCAATATCACAGCTAGAGAATGAGGGGAAATCCTTTTTATTTCACACACTGTGTAATATCAGCAGAGCAGAGTACCTCAGGGATTTGTACTGAGCCCGTTCCTGCTGAGAATAAACATAATTGAAGACTGATAGAAATGCCTTATACTACTCCCTCTATGACTAACCAAGTCCTTTCTGTTCTTTAGAGCTGCATGGCCTCTACATTGATATCAGTCAGATAGTTTGTGACTTAGTAAACTTTATTTTGATTCAGTATTACATACTTTCAGCTAAAACCAAATAGCATAGTTCCAGTCAAGGAGAAACATCTCAAAGGTATTTTACAGTAACATACTCTCTCTCTCTCTCTCTCTCTCTCTATATATATATATACATACATATACAGTATATATATGAAAATTACTTATACTTATTACTTAAATATACAGTGAGTCTTAGATTAGTAATGAGTCTCAGAAGGTAATCTGTGGTAACTTTTCCAAGATGCATAGAACAACCTCAACAATCTGGCTGTTCAAGTATAGTGGAGAAGTTGCCACAGTTTTTCTTTTACAAAGAATTTAGTGTCTTGCACAGTAAACTATGCATGTATTTTAATTACAATGATGTCACAATAGTTATAGACTATGAATTTACATTAAATGTTGTTGGTTAGTTATCATATATGTTGTGCTGAATAATAAAGATTTGGCTGAAATCTAATTTAGTGTAACTTCAATTATTAAATAACAACACCAATCATTATAATGATTGAATTATCACAACAGTATGCCACTGATGCCACTGCAACTGCCCCAAATAACTTTTCAATTTAAAATAAAATAAGATAAAAATAAAAATAATACCCTCCAAATCTACATGATTTTTTAGTCTAATGTACAATACACTCAAATCTGTTTTGTATGATTTATTTCATAGGATGTTTAAACATTGTTCAAAAGTTAGACTATAATTATTCAATAGATTTGTTTAAATTTATATACTAGTTTTCAACTTGATATAAAGAATCTGATCATTTAAAAAAGTAATAGCATATTTCTCCTAAACAAGCTGCACAATCGTATTATATGTAAAAGATGCACAAACATTTTAAAATGTAGTGTAAAGGGTTTGTTCAAATCTCTAACCCTGTGTGTCACCAAAAGCAGTAGTGATGCTTGCCTTAGCAAAAAACACTAATAATTAGTATTGACTTATACCATTAGTATTTAGTATTGACTGATTAGCATTATATTTTTGCTAGATAAAGGGTAACATTTCCATCAGTGAGGCTGGAGATAGCAGATGTCCCTTCAGCTAAAAGTGAATTACTATTGATATTTCAGTCTTATTCAATAAACCCTGAGATTGTCACATGGTCGCCTGCTATGGCATATCAATAGCCAGTGTGCTGAAATTATCACAACAGTATGCCACTGCCTTCTGCCCAACTGCCCCAAATAACTTTTCAATTTAAAATAAAATAAGATAAAAATAAAAATAATACCCTCCAAATCTACATGATTTTTTAGTCTAATGTACAATACACTCAAATCTGTTTTGTATGATTTATTTCATAGGATGTTTAAACATTGTTCAAAAGTTAGACTATAATTATTCAATAGATTTGTTTAAATTTATATTTTTTTTTTTACATCTGCATTCAAGAGAAGTAGCATTGTGGTATCTTACCCATCTTATCCTAATATTTATTTATTTAGTTTAGTTTGGCATCTACTCTAAACTTTTTTTAGAAATTATGAATTTGGGTCACTATTTGTGAAGTGAAAACAAAAAACAAAAATGCACTTAACTGGTGCTTTTATGTGAACAAACAAATATCTCTATAGTCCTTCTGTTTTCGCTTTGTAAGTGAAAAAATAGTATTTGAAAACAAACAACAAATTTTTTTTTTTTTTTTTTATATCAGCATTAAGGCAGAAAAAACATGACCTGTTAGATGTAAAGATTTGTTGGGTCATTCAATGTTGCTGACAGCCAATCAATCATGAGATGCAGTCGTTATTGTACAGACTAATGTACTTCATCATGTCCCTTCTCTTCTGTCCTCTAGAGAAATAAAATTGACTCGTATTTGATGTACCATCCTTAACAACTCTATAGACAAACAGCAACCAAACACATCAGACACCATCTGCACATCCATCATGTGCACTGTAAAATGAATTACACATTTATTCATGTATAGTGTATTGCATAGCATGAAGACAATAAAAACAGAGAATTCATTGTTAGTTTCTCATGTTTAGCACTTGTTCTTCTAGCATGACATGATCTACATGACATGACTGATATAATTGTGTGTCTTGCAATACACAGATTCCCTGCAGACGAGAACAAATCTCTATGATCATGGTGTTTTATAGGTGTCTATAAATATGAATGAACGTAATCCTGTTTTCTAATTTGACTCAATTGCCTGCTGAGTCCACCGAAACATAAAATGTACCCAAACCATATTTGTGTTCCTTAAGCTGTTTCATGTTGGAGCTAAACATTGTACCAGCAGAGAAAATTGGAGGCACATGGATAATTGACCCTTTAATGAGTGTTTAATTAGCAGTGGGAGTAGAAAAACGGTACGTCTGACACCTGCTGTCAAAGTCAACTAGGAAGAACCCTGTTGTATTATCAGTTATGAATGTAAATGTCTCCTAAGCGCTTGCCAGCACCTTCAAGAACAACCGATGTTGTATTTGAATGACTGTATTGGCAGAGGCATATAGCATGCCTTATGGTTCATCTGCACTGTTTTATATTTGTTAGTCTATCATATTTGTCAGACGGACACATATTTGTTTATACGTTGTTTCACACCAGAAGTGCCATTTTAAGAGGCCTTGTCCAGGTACTGTAAAAGTAGTTCAACAGTTTATTTGGTTTGAACTACTTAACAGACTATTAAAATACTTTTTGGTAACACTTTATTTTGATAGTCCGTTTTAGACTACTAACTGTAAGTAACTCTGCAACTCCATGTCAACTAGCAGTCATTAGAGTATTAGTAGACTGTCTGCTTAATATCTGCAATTTATTTTGATGCTTCACAACACACATTCAACTGACAATAAGTAACTTATGTAAACTTATTCTACTAACCCTATCATAACAGTCTACTAATACTCTAATGACTGCTAGTTGACATGTAGTTGCAAAGTTACTTAAAGGGATAGTTCACCCAAAAATAAAAATTAGCCCATTGTTTACTCACCCTCAAGCCATCCTAGGCGTATATGACTTCCTTCTTTCAGATGAATCCAGTCGGAGTTATATTAAAAATTGTCTTTGATCTTCCAAGCTGTTTAATGGCAGTCAGCGGGTGTTGCAGTTCATCAGTCCAAAAGAAGTGAAATAAAGTGCATCCATCCATAATAAAAAGTGTCTCACACAGCTCCGGGGGGTAAACAAAGGCCTCCTGTAGCGAATCGATGCGTTTTTGTAAGAAAAATAACCATATTTAAAACATGATAATCTATTTAATCTAGCTTGCGCTCACTGTTGTAAACGGAAGCAGTTCTGGGAGGATGACGTAAGATGTCGGCGTTGCGCATGCGCCGGTGA